TCATTCAATTTTTGTGTTTGATGTATGTATTTTTTTATTTGTTTTTTCCTGGGATGAAGATAAATCTTGTTTGTTAAAAATCTTCTATAGACCCTGAAGAGGACAGGTTATGTCATACTGAAGGCTTTGAAAGCTTTGAAATCATAACTTATCTGACTTGAAGAGTAATTCAAGCTATAGCTTGTTTTAGCCATGGATCTTGAGTTTTAAAAAAATTAAAATAACCAAATAACAAAGGCATAAAATAATTTCTTATGTGTTTTTCAAGTATGCATTTTTGTCATGAGCAAAGTCCTGACAGACAATGAAAACCACACCTATTATTAACTTGAATAAGAGGAAATAACTGATTACAAAACTGTAGTTTTTTTTGTTTGTTTTGTTTCAGGGTAAAAAATACTGTACTCATATTAGAAAACTTGTGGAGTTTGCTGAAAAGTTTCTTCTTTTTCTACAGAACTGTATTAATTTTATTTTGTTGACTTGCATAAATATATGGAGGACTGAAACTGACATAATTTAAAAAAGCAGAAATATATAAATAGACCAATAAATAAATAAATACACTTAAAATGCACCAATTTTTAAGATTTCATTGGTTCTTTTTAAGTATATTTATTTATTTATTGGTCCATTTATATATTTCTGCTTTTATTTCTAATTACSTCAGTTTTGGTCCTCCATATAAATACAGTTACTTTATCCTAGCTAATAGAAAATTTATGCTCATTATTTTAAACGTAATTGTGCTTTAGAATAATACTGTCAGTTACAGACATAGTTTTAGTTCATTCAAAACAGCATTAAAAACGTAACCACTAAAAAGGATTTAAGAGACAACCCACCTGACACTGATTTGTTTTTTTCTTTCAGTGCTGTGATTTGGGATACCATGCGAGTCTGAATCGATCCTTGCGGACCTACCTTTCAGCAGAGTACAACCTGGAAACGTCGCGCCACGAAGGTCTGGATATCATCGAGAACGCAGTGGACAGTCTGGACCCTCGAAGCGACCGACAGAGGTTTATGGAGATGTACCCCACAGCCTTCTGCCCCCCAGCCAAATTTGAGTTCCAGTCTCACATGGGGGACGAAGTAAGTCGTAAAGCAATGATGGTCCTAAGATGATCCTGTTTCCTGGTTCTATAGAAAAAAAAATACGTTTTATTTTCTGTTTACTATTACTCTGGAAATTGTTCAAATTTGTAGAAAAGGTTTTACACAYGATGAAATGAGGTCCGATATTAAGTGTTTAGCTTTTTATTGTATCTGAGCTGCTCAGTCAGCGTTTATGGGCCCCAGAATTTGACGAATTACGTGTTTTTTTTTCTTCCCCTGCAGTCAAGTAGCTCAACATGTGTTAAGAGTTTTATTGGTCGGCTGCCATTTTGCTGATATCATGTCTGTCTGCCTTTAGTTTGCAAAGGTTGCTGTGGTTTGTTCTGCAATGAAAGAATTCGAATAGTTATCAGTATTTTAAGAAGCATGTTTTTTTTAATTTCATTTTTTAGGTGAGTCAGATCTCTTTACAGCCACCCGTGAATGGGGAGCTGATCCTGAGGTTCCAGCAGCTGCAGTCCCGCTTGGCTACTCTAAAGATTGAAAATGAAGAGGTAACACCCCCCTCACACACACACACACACACACACACACACACACACACACACACACACACANCACACACACACACACACACACACACACACACACACACACACACACACACACACACACTTTTTTATAGGAACAATCCAGAAATTTGTGGTTCATGAAGGTTTAGACGTGTTAAACATGCTTCTTGTTGACTGGAAGTTTGGACTTGTTAGAGGAGGGCGATAGTAAGAGCTTAAATTTGCTGAAGAAAGTTAACTTTTAGTAAAACTCCCCTGAGGTGGAAAAGAAAATAGTTGCTGTAAATTTCTGAAGATTCAAGTTCACAGACACGCACATTTACGCGTTGTGTGTTTCAATGTTTTTTCTCCCACTAACAGCGTTCACTGCTACCTTTTTTTTTTTTTGCGAATCTGCCCCAGGCTGTTCTTTAACAATAAAAGTGCATAAAGTAAAATGAAGTTTCAAGCATTTGCAGCATGCTAAAGTGACTTGACGTTTGTTGTTGGGAGGAAAGAGAGAAGAAAAGCCTTGACTACTGCTGCTTCACAGTTTGTGCTCACATCCATCAGGTTGTTTTGTTATATCTGTCAGACCTGTTTCCTCTCTCTGAACTCTGGCTGCTTTTCTGCACATTTTGCTCCCTGCGTTGCTTCTCTTTAAACCTTCTACAAACACACGGGAACTCGTCACTCACCGTTCTTAAAAATATAACACCAACATGTCAAATATAAGAAGAACTGAACAAGATCTGYTGTACCAACAATTAAAGACAGTTTAAACTGTCATACTCCAGATTTTTTGATAGAATCAAACAAACGACACAATTAAGAATGACCTGTTACACTCTATTGTAATAAAAAATGCAGCCAAAACATGATCTTTTTCAGTGTTTCTTCTCAGTGATGAATAAATTTTGCTTCGTCAGTTAAATCCTCTTAATGTGAAGCAACAGCTGTGTTTAAYTGAATTTAAAACAGGTTTTAAAAAGTAGTATAGAAATACTGATTGAGGAGGATGTCTGAAATAGCATCAACAGTAATTCTCAGTTACATACCAATCAGCAGCAACATTTTAAACACTGATCATCTTGTTACCTTTGTGGGATGTGAAAGATGGCAAGTTAACACCCTCTTCTTGGATTTGATGTGTTTGAAGCAGCAGAAATAAGAAAATGTACCTTATAGGACGAATGCATGCGAAGTGGTCCAAGAAAAGCAGAGGTGTCCAAAGCTCAGTGATGCATACGTCCAGGCTTTCTTTTACCTCTACTGGATGTTTGGTTGCATGTGGGTCATTTCTAAAAAGGAGGAGATGACAGCAGAGGAGCAAACAAATGCTGTTTCCTGCCATTTATGTTTATGTCAATTTTACAGCTAAACATGTCTACTGACCACAAACGCCTCTTCACAGCAGTGCTGCCTTCCCGCTGTGTGAAGCTCTCTGGCAAACTGCAAAACTGGTTCAAGAATAGTTTAAAGGGATTCACGATTAGTTGTAACTTTAGACTTTATTTGATAAACATTTATTTTAACTGTAAAATAAAGACTGTAAAAATTCTGTAGGCTGTTTAGTTTTGTAAATTCTTAAAAATATATTTTAACACAGACGGAGC